CTGACTGCCACAGTGGCAAATAACAACTTCACCCTGCATCTCATCCTCTACATAGTGGGCAACTGGCCATGTGTTGAAGGCTGTACTTTACAATGGTTCCTCTACTTTAGGAGCAATGCCTGTAAGAATTTTTGGGGGCACTAAGAGACTAGATTCTGAAGGCCCATTTTTCCCAAAATGAAATGGATCTGAGTGTATCCCAGTCACAGTACAACTACTATTCATTATGCATTATTTTATACACAAAGTGTTTTATGTATTTTTATTGAGACTTCAATGATCTACTCTAGAATTAGGATATAGCACCTGCACATCACTTTTAAGAAGAGTAAGGCTCAGAGAATAGGAATAACTTGCCAAATGTCATGAATATGACATGCCAGATCTCTGACTTTTCCACCCAGCTTGCTCATTTGATAAAAGGACAAAGATACTGCTGCCTGGTAATATCAGTAACAACTGTGAAACACTGCCGGTTCTTATGTCTAAACAAATTAAATTCAGAAATGACTGAAATTAGAAAATGTATGCCTTTATTTTCAGGAGTGAGGAGTACCTGACACTTTAAAGATTTTTCTGGAAGTGGACAATTATCATTTACTTGATCATGTATACTCATTCATTCCAAAATTATTCATTGCCCAGTCATTCTTCAAGCATATTTAAGGCCATAAATATTTTTCAGGGAGTGCTTATAAGCAAGATATAGGATAACGTCGAGGGCCTTCCTGAATACTGTGGGCCTATTGTTTGAGAATGAAACAAATTTGTTAGTGGGTAGCTTTGATAAACAGGAAATAAATACCTAATCCTTCCAATGAAGGGACATCTTAAAGATCTGGCTCAAGAGCTAAGATATATGTATTATGCTCATTAACTTTATTTCTTGCATTCCTGTTACTCCTTTTAGTACCTCTGACTTTTCTGTCTGCAGGGTAAAATAAGACATTTTATTCCAAGCAATAGGAATCCATTTCCTAAATCTCATAATAATGCTGTTTTTATATTCATTTGTCACTTTTTGAGCCAGTCACTTTTCCTCTAATATGTGATTTTCCTCATTGTGACTCATAAATGACACCTTCATTTCTTGAACTATACACTTTGTTGCCCTGAGAATCTCATACTGACTGGGCTATGAGAAGAGCAGTAATGTCCAATCTCCAACCTTATACAACATTCTGCAATTATTGAAATATTTTGACAGCTAAGCATTGTCTTACGCACTTAGATCATGTAATCTAAGCTATAGGGAGATCTTCATTGTTATAGAAACTACAATTTATAAAGAAATTTTTGCTACATAAAAAAATGATGATTTAAATTTTAACTGTCATGTCAACAAATTTTCAGTTAGTTCTTTTCAGTACAATTGGAAAACAAACAGTCCTAGAATTAATGACATGTAGTTTCTTAACGCCTTGCACATATTCATCCTGGCCAAGAATAAGTAAGTATAAAATTTTTAATTGTAAGAAACAACTATTTGGAAAAAGAATAAAATACAGGTAAAGTGTAATGAATGCTTATGCTTCATGGATCTGGCAATAACTTGAAAAATATTGGTGGGCTAAAAAATTGAATATTTACATTTTAGAATGTATTGCTCTACATGAAAACATCTCACATGGCATTAAACAAGGCTTAATGTATATCTGAAATATTTAATATGGCAAAAAGTCTTAGTATGTAACATTAAAAAATGTAAAATATAAACATCATATAATAAGCAGTATATGATGATGAAGAACAAACTAATTTCCAAATATTTATAACTTTGTTTCAGTGGGAATGATTTTTAAAAGCTATGTAGCAATTTCTAATATATTTTTGAACAAAAAGATATATATATATGAATATATTGAAATATTAAATTAAAATACTAAAACAAAAAGAATAAAATACATAAATAATGGACTGATTTTTAAATGAAAAAGGACTGATGTGAAATGAAAGGGACCACAATAATAGAAGACTACTATTGGAGAATATGGAAATTCTGATTTCAAAATACACAACTTGTTAGTTTTTCACAAAAACTATCATCATTCATTTATTTATATTTTAATTTATTCTCCCATTCTTTCCTTCTTTTGTTTAACGATATTAAAGGGGATCCTAAAATGTGCCAAGAACTGCTGTAGGGAAATCAGCTGAAGCAGTAACAATATCACAAAAAAGTGTTTTTTCTCATCAAACTTAGATTGACCTGAAAGAATGTGGGAAGGAGCATGAGAGAATGCAGAAAAGCACCTGCAATTTTAGCTACCCGGGAGACTTAGGCAAGAGGATAGAAAACTGAAGATAAAACTGAGCAATTTAATGAGATTCTCAGTCAAAACTAAAACAAAAGAGGCAGAGATGTATTTCAAAAGTACAAGGATTGCCTAGCAAGAAATAAAGGAATGAATAACTATTAAAACATATACACAAGCCAAGCTGCCATACAGTCACCTGTACAAAATGGGTTACTCTTACCACCACCACCACAAGCAGCAGCAGCACCAGCATTGCATGTGGGACAGAAAATTAATGCAAATGAGAGGTAAGAGGCCAGGGCTGAGCTGTCCCAAGGAGTGAAAAACAAACGGGAAGACACACAGGGTGAATTCTGTGTCAACTTAGCTACACTGTGGTGTCAATCGTTTGGTAAAACATCAGTCTAAATGTTGTCATGAGGGCAATCTTAGAAGTCATTGCATTTAAATAAGAAATACACAAGACATCTATGATACAGGTGGGTGTCATCCAATCACCTGCGGACCCAGGAGAAAAGACAGAAGTCTCTGAAGGAAGAAAAAGGATTCTTCCTCCAGGCTAAACATAGAAGCTTTGTTCATGTTTCCTTGGGCTCCAGACTTTAACCTCATCCACGGCCTTCTCTTCCAGTCTGTTGGTCTGACCTCCACGTTTCACTCTTGCCTGTTCTCCCACACTCCCCGATGCCCTCTCCCACTTCTCTCATATCTCTCAGATCTATTGCTCCACACAACCCTAACACAGGCAGATGTTCAGAAAACATATCATTGCGAGCATTCTAATTGAGCAAGAATCTGAAAGAGGCAAAGGACTGAGTCACTAGATATCTCGATTAAAAAAAAAAAAACAGTAGCAGAACTGAGGAAACAGTACATACAAAGATGCTGAGAAGGAAAAGCCTGGCAGAAAAGTTTTAGGGATAATCAGGATACAACGAAAGTTAATAAATAACAAGACAAAAACCAATAATTAGGAAATGAGACTAAAGGTTAACAACAAAATTACGTAGGGCTTTTAAATCTTTCAAAAGATTATGGCCTTTACTCAGTCCCACTAGGACACTGTCAACAAAAACTTTGGAATTTCTGTTTCCATTTTGATAGTGTTATCCCAAAATAACTAGATAATGGGGAACAAGTAATAGAAATGAGCTCCAATCAGAGAGTGCTAATGCTTGAATAATATGATGATATAATAAAACCACTGGGTTATTCACTTCAAAAGGTGTGCAGATTGTGTCCCAATATTGCTGTTATGATGAGATAAAATAAATATTAAAAAGAATAAAAATGTGTAACATATAAGATTATGCAGAGCCAAGCACAGAACCAGGCAGAACATCCTGAATGATATTGTATATGGCAAGAGACAAAAACCTAAGATAAATCCAGATAATCTGAAGAAAAAAACTATCTTTAACTGATAAGAGAAAGGGTGCTACAGGAAGGGGTTGGATGGTGAGTAAGGAAAGAAATTTTGCTTGGAGAATGCCAATTTTGAGATATGTATTAGACATGTAAGCACATATATTAAGCATAAGTTAGAAATAGAATTCTATAACAAATTATAGATCTATAAATGTAGAAGAGCTTAGTATATTGATGAATCTATCGCCACAAGAATACAATAAACATGAAATAATTATACATATAAAAGTGTAAAGATTCCAGAACTGAGCTCAGAAATTTTGTCAAAGAAATGAGGAAAATCTACCAAAGGAGTCTGATTATTTGTCATAAGACGATCATAGGAACACAAGGAGGATGATCAGGAAACACTCTCAAGAAAGTATAGTTGAATTCACAAAACACTGCCATTCATCAAATAAGATGGTGAATGTTGCCTCCACTCAGCAGTGTGAAGATCATGGTTCTATTTAAATGAATATACATATACAATTTTTCATATGAAAGACACAGGCTATTTCATAAAATGCTATTTAAGCAATCGTTCCATTCCTGCTTTGTTTCTACAATTCAAAAATGCCCACTTGGCTGATCTGTTTCTGGGGTGACGGGGAAGGGCACCTTCTATTCAGCATCTATACATCACAATCAAGTTATAACAAATGCATATGTGTTCCCAAAAAGAAAATAATATATTATTATGATGCTAATTAGTGCAGTTTCAGTGAGATGGTGTCGGTGAAAGCCAAACGGGAAGGAGATGGAGAGAAAAATAAGAAAATGATTCAAGTCTGCTTTGCACTAACACAAACAGCAAAAATGAAGTAGTATTTATAGGTGAATATCACATTAAGGGTAATTCTGAATTTTTCTTTTGTTATGCTTTTATTAATGGGCAAACCTTAATGTAAATAGGAAAAACTAAAATCCTAAAGATGCAGAGAACATAATTGTTGAAAAGAATTTTCTATGTTTAGTAAGAGACAGTTGTTCAAAGCATAAAGCACTAGGAAAAGATAGATCTCAAGACAGGACATTGTCAGTCATCTCATCCAGTTCTCTAATCCAAGGTTATACAAGTAAACTTCACTAACAGATGTACTCAACTGGTCTAATGCACTTCCAAATTCTGTGATCAAGAAAGTGAAATGGCTCCAAAGGCAATAATATCTAATACCGGATTAGAGGTGTTGAAGAAGCATGAACAAAACCCAGAATGCAATGGCTCTGAAAACATCAACACCTACAGTTCATTACAAGGTACCTATCTGTTGCCATATACTGATGCTAAAGCTCAATTCATACATGGAAAAAATAATTGAGAAAAACAGAACATCAGGTTGATCTACACAAAACATGAGCCACCTCATTTCGAATCTGTTTGGTCTTGACTCCGTAAATTATGGGATTCGCCATAGGTGGAATCAGGATAGACACATTGGCCAGCAGAACATGGATATAGGGTACAATATGGTGTCCAAATCTCTGAGTGAGTGTTGTGAAGATCCCAGGACCATAAAAGAGAACAATGACGCAGACATGGGAGCCACAAGTATTCAGAGCTTTCTGGCGAGCATCTTGGGATGGCATGCGGAAGACAGCATGGAGAATCAGCACATAGGAAATGAAAATCAGCACAATATCTAAGACCACTGTTGACATTAGGACAAAAAATCCGTACCAGATATTGATTCGGATGTCATCACAGGAAATACGAGCCAAGATAATGTGCTTGCAACCAGTGTTTGGGAGTATATTATTTTTACAGAATGTCAGTCTTTTCACTAAAAATATTATGGGGACTACTGTACCATAGCTTCTCACAGAGATAGTCGCTCCAATTTTTCCAATCAGGGAGTTTGTAAGAATACTGGTGTACCTCAGAGGGTAACAGATAGCAATGTAGCGATCAAATGCCATCACCAGCAAGATCCCTGACTCAGAGATAAATGTAGAATAGTTGAAGAAGAGTTGAGTGATGCAGCGATCTAGGGAGATCTCTCCAGCATTGAACCAGAAAATGGCCAACATCTGAGGAATCGTTGAAGTAGATAAGACAATGTCTGCTCCTGCCAGCATGCAGAGGAAGAGGTACATGGGTCCATGGAGACTCTGCTTTGTGAGGATAATGAAGATGAGCAGGCTGTTTCCAAGCAGAGAAATAATGTAGGAAATGAAGAAGGGGATGGAAATGTATACGTGCAGGTCCTCCAGACCAGGGATGCCCAGCAAGTGGAAGACTGTGTGGCTGACACCTGTGTGGTTAGAAGTACTCATGTCTGAAATGCACGGCCAGAAATCCTCACTTTCTGTTCTTAAAGAAGAGTTCTGATTACACTCAAAGATTTCATTTGTGCTATCAGGTTTTCATACCTAAATCATTCTATACCATTCTCAATGTGCCAGGAACAGTGATACGTTAAGATAAAATGGTATGGTTTATTTTATGAATAATCTAAGTAAGATTTACATTTACTTTATGAATAATCTAAGTAAGATTTACATAGTTTTAACAAGTGAATTTTATTTAATTTCATTTTAAAGAGAAAAACAAAAATCAAAAAGCAAGCAACAACAATAGAAGCAAAATGTCAAATACAATGATAAAAGAAAAACATAGCAGTGTACGACTTTAAAACAAGGGCCAGGGGTTAGTTCAGTGACACAAACGCCTGCCACACAAGTACAAGGTCATGAATTGGATCCTCAGTACCAAAAAAAAGTGGTGTATAAAAAAAGGACTGTAAAACAAGATGATAGGAGTCTAACAATCTTTGTTATATTGCACATTTTTATCTTCAAAGTAGTTGTGCAGGTTACCAGTACAGCATGCAAAATCAAACAACGTGATTTCCCTTTGAGCAGTTTCTTTCCTTTTCACTATTGCTATTATAACTTTTAAATGATTCAGCTAAGATATCAGTCATACAAAAAAAATGTTGACATGGAAGCTCAATATAAAGACTACCTTGTACTGCTCCTGTTTGTAATGATTTAAAAATAAATGCATAACCAAATGAGACAGACACAGGAAGATAAATAGTGCTTTATCCCTTTTGCATGTGTATTCTAAAAAAATTGAACACATACATGTTGATAGGGAAATAATGGTTTTGAAGGGTTAGGGGATGTGAGAACATTCAGAAATTTTGGTCAGAGTATAGAGGCCAGAGTTCATCCCTACCATCCACCACACTGAAAGTAAAATGTCACTCTTCAGTAATCACAGTTGGTGTACAATAAGTTTAAAGGGTCACGAAAAGAGACACTAAGGAGCGCATATGGCAAATGCTTATAACTCTCAGCATCTGGCATCAGCACAGAGCTTCCCTGGAGGCCTCAGGGCTCCCTACAGCATGAGAGCTAAACAGGCTCCTCAGGTCTTGCACATCTCCATGTTTCTCTCCCACTCTGTCTTCTTCTGAGACAGTCCATGCTTGTGGCTTTGAACTGGTGGTGGGATAATATGAGAGACAAACAAAGGGAGAGATAAGGAAGGAGGGAAGGAAGGAAGGAAGGAAGGAAGGAAGGAAGGAAGGAAGGAAGGAAGGAAGGGGAATAAAAGGAAGAGAAGAAGGAGAGAGAAGTAGTGGTGGTAGAGTGTACAAGACAATTTCATAATGTTTTTCAGTTACCTGCGAAACATTATCAGCATAATGTAGCTCTCTGTAGAGGTGGAATATACATGCACAATTGATTCTCACACAGTGATGTGAGCCTGCTCCGCCACTCTACAGCTCTGGTCACCGCATTCTACCCATTTAACTCCTGGCAATGGCCTTCATATATTCTATCATCTAATTTATGTCCTACAACTCCTATCTTCCAGAACTTCTACCTTCCTCTGGAAATTTCATTCTACACAAGTAACAGCAACACTCACCTTGCTCAAAAGGAGAGTTCATGGGCTAGATTGGGGTGAATCTCAAGAGGACTCTGAAGAATCAGCAGCAGAGGCCAGGGATTTTACACATTTGCCTAATGACCTCAGAGTGCACTAATACTTCAGGGATCTCAAACCTAACACTCCAGAATGAAGTCACTTCACTTTTCAAATCTTGTTCACACCTCCCCTATCCAACAATTCTTTTCCTAGAAAATGTGTGCAATTTATTCTTTTCAACACATACCAACTTTTGATTGCTTTGTGAAATATTTCATTTTGATTTAAATGGAAATTAGAAAATTAACCTCATAATCAATTAACAAAACTTGAAGCTCATTGCTACTATTTTTATAACAATTTTAAATTTTAATCAGTTTTATGCAGATAAACAGCATATTACATAGTCACCATAGACCCTGTGGTTCTTTTTACATAATTTATAGGAATATAATATCATAGGTTTGCTATGCTGTATTTATGAACCAATACCAATATAACATCATTAAATTCGCAGTGTATTTACTTTTGCATAGGTGGTTTTTTTCTCTGTGCTTCTTCTATTCGAGAATCCCGAGAGGGAAACATACTATATTTAGTAATCATTTCTTTTTAGGCTGATATTCCTGATTTCTCATGCTTTCCTTTATTCAAAAGTTTGACTTGTACATAGTATTTTTCAGTAATTTTCTGGGATTGTGGGTGTGGCAGTGTACCTCTGTCATGCCATCACTCTGGAGGCCAAGGCAGAAGGATTGCTGCCAGTTTAAAGCCAGCCTGGGCTATAAAGTAACTTCAAGGTCCTTGGTGATATCCTGTCTCAAAAAGACAAAATCAATAACAAAATTAATAATTTATGAAATTAGAAAAAATAAAATGAGACTCTCAGGATCGCAAGGAAAAAGACACACCCTGACACCAAAAACATTATCCATAAACAGAAAAACTGATACAGAGAACACAACAAAATTTAAAATTGTTCCTCTGAAAGGCAATCTTATGAGAACGAAATCACAAGTTACTCTCCTTGTGAAAATATGTTTGCAAACCACATGTCTGACAAAGGCTGTGTATTTCCACTCTCAGGGAACCAGAGTTGGCAAGGCCTGAGGAGCTGTGCACATACAGAATACAACACCAGCAACAAACAGAGGAAGAGATGCGTGGAGATGGTGCTTCCTGAAGACAATGAAAAGAGGTAGAAAGCTCCCAGTTTGTAAGAATACTGCTGGATAACCATACAGAAAATGCAGAAAGAGACAGGAATCCACGTGGCTGGTCCTCCAGGCTAGCTATGCCTAGGAAGCAGAAGACAGCAGGTCTGACATCTTTGTGCTTTCAGGTGCTCACTCCTGATGGCAGCCACTCCTGTTCACAGAGGTGGGTGCTTTAATCCAACTGTGATGCTGTCATGAATATTTGATCATGGATGATTGAAAAACAACAGACATTTATTCCTCACAGTCCTTGAGGCTAAGAAAGCCAAGATCAAGACACTGGCATCTGCTGTGTGATGTACACTTTCTTCTTCTTTCCTCAAATGACAGAAGGCAGAAGAGCAAGCAAGCTGAAGGCTCCGTAAAACCTCTTTCATAAGATTCTTCACCCCTATAATGAAGGAGGAGTCCTCATAGGATAATCTCCTTCTAAAGGAGCTTCTCTCCTTGACACCCTCACATTGGCAACACTGGACTCTAGAGGGAGCACAGTAACACCATAGCGTAGAGTTTCTACACATTTTCTCATAATAGTCTTTGTGACATCAAGAGTTTTTTAATATACCACAGTATACATTTTCCTTCAGCATGCAAGTAGTAAAAAACACACAAAATACATGGAATATTTTCTCTTACTTACTACATTGAATCCAGTTTTTAGCATATATTTCTAACTAATCCAAGTGAAATATACTATTGCCTATTTTTCTCACGCAAATCAATAACTACAAATATGCTGAGGAAACCATGCTGGAAAGTTAGTCACTAGATGATTGTTGAACTTAAAAGGAAGAATTCTCATTAAGTGAAGAAAAACAAGGGCAGCATTGAAAAGATTCTTATTCTTGAAAAATGCATAGACCATGGGACTGGTGCCCACACAGCGAGTTCTAGAGAGGGAAGGGAACATATTTAGGTAGGTAAGTTTCACCTGATTGCCACAGTGACAAATAACGACTTCATCCTACATCTCATTCTCTACACAGTGGGCAGCCATCTATATGCTGAAGACTGTACTTTACAATGGTTCCTCTAGTTTAGGAGCATTGCCCATAAGAGTTTGTTGGGGCACTAAAAGAAGAGACTAGACTCTAAAGATCCATTTTTTCCAGAAATGAAATGGATCTGAGTGTATCCCAGTCACAGTATAACTACTATTCATTATGCATTACTTTCTACACAATGTATTTTATACATTTTTTATTGAGGCTTCAATGTTTACTCTAAGATTTTAAAATAGTATCTGCACATCACTCATAAGGAGGGTGAGACTCAGAGAATATGAATAACTTGCCAAATGTTGTGAATATGACATGCCAAAACTCTGACTTTTCCACCCAGCATACCCACTTGATGAATGGACAGAGATCGCAGTATAACAATATACTTAAGACCTATCTACCTGAAGTTGGTTCTCATGCCTAAATAAACTACAGTCAGAAATGACTGAAATTAGAAAATGCAAGCCTTTATTTTCAGAAGTGAAGAGCATCTGACACTTAAGAAGTGGACAATTATCGTTCACTTGATAATATATATTTATTCATTTCAAAATTATTTATTGCCCAGTCATTCTGTAAGCATATTTTAAGAAGCAAATCTTTTTCCGGGAGTGTTTTATAAACAGGGTATAGAAAAATGTTGACAGTCTTCCTGAACAGTATGGGCCTAGTGCTTAAAAGTAAAATAAATTTTTTAGTGGATGGCTTGACAAATAGGAGATAAATCCTTAATCCCTCTAATAAAGGGACATCTTAAAAATCTGGCTTCAGTGCTCAGGACTGGCATTCCAGTTACTCCTCTTAGTACTTCATATTTCTCTGCCTGCATCATAAAATCATACACTTTCTTCCATGCAATGGGAATCTACTTCCTAAATCTCATGCTAATGCTATCTTTTCATTTGTCTCATGAAATAGCCACTGTTCCTCCAATATGTGGTTTCCCTTATTGCAATACATAAATGATCACCTGTAATTCTTGAACTACAGATTGATGATAGTCTTAAATTAACTGTGCTATGAGAAGAGTATTAAGGTCGAATTTCCCACCCTGCAAATATTGAATTTTTTTTACAATTAAGCATGATCTTACACACTAAGATCATATAATCTAAGCTATAAGCTATAATGGGATACACTCAGATCCATTTCATTTCGTTGTTACAGAAATTACAA